ATACAAACAAAATAATAAAAACAATAAAATTTAAACGAACATCATTACTTTCAAGCAATGATGTTGTTTTTCTGAAACCAAACTGCTGCCTACAGTGTGATTGTGGTTCTAACAGCTGTAGGCCCAGAATCTTTGTGGCTTACCATGTTTATGTTTCTGTCTGCCTAAGATGACTGAACTCCCACCACTTTCTCTGTCCAAAATGCTACACATATTTTATATTAATAATATGCACCTTCACCATCATTCAGCTTTCATTTGGTTTTAATTTACCTGTGTCTTAGATCCCCCATTTTCTTTTCTCATTAACCCTTTAGACTACATGGTGGTAACAGGGGGCTGTAAATTCAGTCTCTGAAGTGTGGGACAAAACTTAATTCAAAGTTGTAGCAAAGATGTTCTTATTAATCATTCAGATTACCTTGAACATGAAAACAAGAAAATAATTCTTATTGAAAATTCACAGTGGGTGTGGTGGCTCATGCCTGTAATCCTAGCACTCCGGGAGGCCATGGCAGGAGGATCGTTTGAGTTTAGGAGTTTGAGACCAGCCTGAGCAAGAGTGAGACCACATCTCTACCAAATATAGAAAAAATTAGCCAGACATGATGGCACATACCTGTAGTCCCAGCTACTTGGGAGGCTGAGGCAGGAGGATTGCTTGAGCTCAGGAGTTTGAGGTTGCTATGAGCTAGGCTGATGCCACGGCACTCTAGCTGGGGCAACAGAGTGAGACTGTGTCTACAAAAAATAAAAGAAAAAAGAAAGAAAGAAAAGAAAAGAAAACTTATAGATGCCCTCTATTTGTTTCATAAGTACCTATTTTAGAATCTCTTAGATAATCTATATAATATTCATGGTGACCTAAAAATTGTACTTTCATTCTATTAAAAGTGTGACATCAAGGCTATTCTCCTTTTTACTGTAGGTGTTTTAACTTTGTGTCTTTTATATTTCTTTTTATCTCTTATTCTTCCCTCATTTTTCCAAGTTATATACTGCCAGTTACTTTGATGTTCTTCATGTTTTATTTTTATCCCCTTATTGTTTTTTCCTTACTTTGCTTGCATGTTTTTCTGTACATTCTTTTCTATTTTCTCACCATCTCCATAAAGTTTAGGAGGGCTGCCAAACTGTCTGTTGTGCAATTTTAAGGGTCAGTCTTGCTTCAGTAGTAGTATGATTACTACCCTGTTATTGTACATCACATATGCTATGGTATGAATGTTTGTGTTCCATTTTTCAAATTTATATGTTAAAAATCTAAGAACCAAGATGATGGAATTAGGAGGTAGACTTTTTGGGAGGTGGTTTGGTCCTGAATGGGATTAGTACCCTTATAAAAGAGGCCCCAGAGAGCTGCATTGCACCTTCTACTATGTAAGGACATAGTGAGAAGGTGTCATCTCTGAGAAAGTGTGCCCTCACCATATCCCAAATCTGTTGGCACCTGATCTTGAACCTCTTCAGTCTCTAGAACTGTGAGAAATAAATTTATGTTGTAAGTCACATAGTTTATAGTATTTTTATTATAATAGCCTGAATGGACTACTTAATTTTTCAATGGAACTATGATATTACTGACATATTCATCTTGGAGTACTTAATATCCCCTTGGTGTCTTTATCTACTGCTACTTTCATCTGGTTTCTATATTTTCTTTCTGGTTAATTTATTTTTATAATTCATTGTGTTAGGTATTCAGTTTTTTCTTGTGTGCTAAGCACAAAGGATACTTTAGACCTGATATAAATTTTTGCCTTCTAAGAGTTTACATTTCTTGTTTCCAACTCCTGACCTTGTGCGATCTGTCCACTTTGGCATCCCAGAGTGCTAGGATTACAGGCGTGACCCACCACGCCCATCCTAAGAGTTTACATTTCTAGTTGGGAATGCAGACAAGTAAAACAAATAACTTTAGCCTAGTGTTATTTATTGTGGATCCCAAGGTGGGGTAGAGCAGGGAGGGACTACCTTTAACTCTGGGAAGAACTGAAGGTAGAAATGGTGAGAGAGGGCTTCCTAGGGTAGATGATGTTGTAGCTGAGAGAATTGAAGAAAGAACTGTAGAAAATAGGGTATTTTCTGGAGCTTCGGTGATTAGAATCAGTGTCTTGCTGATACAAAAATTCTTACTCTCTCTTGTCTCTGCTGCTTTCTGGCTCATCTTTATTCTCTCTGGTTTTTCTGTTAATGAAATCATAATGTTATAGCTTCCCTGCTTACTCCAGGAAAAATATATTAGAGAAGGACCTCAAATGGCTGCACTTTGGTGATATGCCCATCTCTGGATAGTCACTGTGGCTGGAGATATGGGATATTATGGTTATTTGGTCCAACCTAGTCATGTTCTAAGAGTTGTGGGTGGAAGGAGTCCTGGACAAAGGCAGGGGTCTCCACACCATTCCAGGCAGTAGGGCAACATGTGAAAGAAATGGAGGCCGGGAAGGGTGAAAATGAAGTTTTAGAAACAGCAAATGGATTAGTGTGACCAGAATACATGAGGTGTGTGGATAGTGTGAGTGGGAAGGAGGCAGAAAGAAAAGGTTAGCAGGCAGGCCCAATCTCACAAAGACTATGAAACAATGCCAAAGCAATTTTGTTTTGTCTTCCAAGTAAAGGAGACATTGAAGTTTGTCTTCTTTGTTGTTTTTTATCATTCAAATAAATGTTATTATTATGTGCTAGACTATTTTTAAAATCCATTATCTTTCTTTTTTTTTTTTAATTTTTTTTTTTTTTTTTTGAGACAGAGTCTCACTTTGTTGCCCAGGCTAGAGCGAGTGCCATGGCGTCAGCCTAGCTCACAGAAACCTCAAACTCTTGGGCTCAAGCAATCCTCCTGCCTCAGCCTCCCGAGTAGCTGGGAATACAGGCATGTGCCACCATGCCCGGCTAATTTTTTCTCTCTCTCTCTATATATATTAGTTGGCCAATTAATTTCTTTCTATTTATAGTAGAGACGGGGTCTTGCTCTTGCTCAGGCTGGTTTCAAACTCCTGACCTTGAGCAATCCGCCCGCCTCAGTGAGCCACCGCGCCCAGCATAATCCATTATCTTTCTAAAGATTTTCCCTACAAAACCAGAAAAGGTGAGAAGTTGATATGAAAAATCAAAATAGCAAGAAAAAATAAATTTCTTTCATTAAAACATTTATAACATCAATGTATTAATGCTTTCTGACAATCATATATTTAACACATAATGAATATAGTGTCTCTTCTAGATTCTATTATATGTGTGAATAGATAACTCATATAAAGATAAGATAAAAGACTAGGAACTTAGATCATAAAAGGAGAGGATGTAACTCTACGATCCACAGGCAAGTTTTGTTTTGAGTGTAGGGCACACTGAACTAACTTTCAATTTCAGTCTACTCTTGTGCCCTTACTTAGTTTTATTGTTAGCTAGTTTTATTGAAGATTTTAAGTGACAGTCCAGAAGTCACAACTGTGATTCAGAACAGTGAGTTTTTATTTTTATTTATTTATTTTTTATTGAAGTACAGCACACATACAAAGAAATGCACAGACTGTTAGTGTCCAGTCTTAGCACATTTTCACCAATTGAACACACCTGTGTAAATAGTACCCAGATCAAGAAACAGGACATTAATACTTCTCCAGAAGCAACTAAAAAAAGTGTTTAAGGAAAATGTTTGACAAGATTAGATTCTGTGCTTTTTGAAATTAATAGCAGATGTAGAAAGAGACAATGGATAGGGATTTTTGAAAGAGTTCAAGAAAAGGAGAAGAGAGGCTCACTCAAGATACTATCTTTAAACAAAGAGAAGAAATAGTATCTGAACTGTAGTTAATTTTCCGTGGAAAATGTAGAGAATTGGCTATTGGGTCTGAGAACATGATTTACTAGATGTAAGTACATAAGAAATTTAGAAAGTGTATTTAGCACTCTTGAGCTTTTTAAAACCTTAATGTCAAAAAACTCTAACATTAGGAAAACACACTAAGAAGAATCTTTCTTTAGATAAAAAGAAGCATTCTAACAAGGGAAATTCAGAGAAGATTACATCTGATAGATGTGGATTCACCTCTAAAACATAATCAACAATCCTTATGAATCCTGAGTACTCTTTAGGTAATTATCTTTTTAATTTTCTTCTTGCAAAAAATATGAGCACTGAGAGCATCATGTCGGTCATCTGTTCCAGTTAATTACATAGGAAGATGGGGATAGAAGCTCAGCAGATGGTACAACCTTTGCTCTGAGAGCAGAGTGGGTTAAGTGGTCACTCTGTGGGTACCTGTCTTCTCATTTTAAGCTCACTGAGAGCAGGAAAATGATTGGTCTCTGGCCACTCACCCTATGTATCTACTTGTAAGGTAGAATTCTATGGTGGCAAGAACACTAGGCTGGGAAGTAGAAGATATTCATTCTAGTACCTGTCCCATTCTGACTATCAGATCCTAATCCAGTCTTTAAGTTACCAAAAAACAACAAAGATGTTGAGTTAAATATTCTTACTTCCCTCTAGTTACTAGTTCTTGCTGAATTTCTTCTAAGATTTATTTGTTTTGTGTGATCCCCAAATGTTACTAACCTTTTGGAATTTCAATTTTTTTCATTTATAAAATGATAAAAATTATCTCAGGATGTTAGTAAAAATCAAATGAGATGAAGGATTTTAAAATAATTTAATTTTAGAATGATATCCAAATTATGAAAGTTATAGTTGATTATTCCCCCTCCTTCAAGCCCTCCTTCATATTCTTCCACTAGCTGAAGAAGTATTCCATTTCCTAAGAAAATTCAGGTGTGGATTTACTTCTGAAGGCCTTAACACATTTAGTCAGAGGCTTGGTGGGATTTTTTTGTTTGTTTTTGCTTTAAGTTTTTAAACTTAGCCAGTGTTCAACCATTTGCAAGTGAGATGCATCTTACCAACATGCTTATGAATTGAAACTCTGTAGTGTGGTCAGTGTCAAGATAGTTTGAAATTAACTCTATTCTGAATGGTCAAAGAACTGCACATAAACTTAAGAGGAAACCTCCAGACTGTTTATTGAGAAGTGTGATATGTGCCGTTATCTTATGTTTGCATTTTGGATTGACAAAGCTCCATTGTTATTTGCCATTACCAGGCCTGTTGTATAGAGAAGACTTACAAAGCAATAATTCTCTAAATATCAAGATATAATTTTCCAGTGCTCAACTGTTTTAGACATACAGAATCTCAATCTGGAAACATTTGGATGAAAATGGTATTTTTCTAGCTTTCCTTCAGTACTTGATGACTGCTCCAGTTTCCAGGTATTGTTTCTGGTGCTTCATCTTTGAGAAACGTTGCAGTGAAGACTTTCATTCATGGCATGCTACTGCAGTAATTTTCCAAATGAGCTGGGGAGAAAACAGTTATTTGTTGAGCTTCTTCTAGGTGTCCTATTATCTCCTTTAGGTGTCTATTATCTCCTTTAATCTTATTACAGCTTTGCCAACTCTATTGCTATTTTAGAGTTGAAAAGATTGGGGCTCAGAGGGACAAATATCCCATTGGTCATATATTTGATATTAGAGAAACTGGAATTTGATTCAAGGGTCAGTGACTTCTTTTAAAGTTTTTCTTTTGTTCTCTTTGGCAGAGAAAGAAGAGTTCTACTAGAACTTCTCTATATTAAGATTAAAAAGTATCCCTTCTTGTTATTGTTTTCTATGTTAGAGTTATAATTTGTATGCTATAAAACTTATGTACAATGATTTTCATTAACAAACAATGAGCACTTTGTACAGGAAAGATGTGTGCATTAAAAGGTGCTTTCAAAAAGTATTTATGTGTATACACATTTATGTATATGTATGTGTAATATATCTCACATATTTACAACTTAAAAGATGTATATATAACTTATGTATATAATTTATATATGATAAACATGTTTTATATATAATTTATAGATCTCACTTACATTTACCATAACATCATAAATATAATGTAGAAAGATATAAACATGCCTATAACTTGTATGTGCATATGTATGTATAGGCGTGTTGTATGCACACATGCTCACTTAATCCAAAATTAGTCAAGGTTTTAGAATAGACATTTAAAGTGATTTCAAATCAGCATACTAAATATTGCCCCAAAGTACAAATTTTTAAAGCCTTAAAAATTGAGAGCACAATTGTGTTTATGTAAATTCAAAAGCTAATTCAGGAAACTTGGCTACAAAAGTAAATTCCTTCCAGAAAATAACACATTGTTATTAGTTGCTAACTCTATAATCATAAGATTAGTATTATGAAGTCATTTCTTTTTAAAAGCCTTCAAATAAATTTAAATACATAATCAAATATAGCAATAAAACTAGCAACAACATAATTTTAAGACACTCAAGACATATGCCATAACTGTACAGTGTGTCAACGATGCCAGCAGCACATATGGCTTGCTTGTTTGCTTCTCTGTGGTGTCTCCCCACTATTGGCACAAGCAACCACACACCACAGTTCAATTCACAGATATGGTATTTACATGCATCCTTCATGGCACACATGTTTTATATAATGAAGTACTATCTTTAAATGGTTGAGAGAAGAATAGAGTAGCTATTTAGTTATTATTTCAAGACTCATGGGAAATATTATCCAGTTACCTTTAAAACTGTCTTATTTTTCTTTAAATGAAATTCAAATTCTCTACTTTAGCTGAGAAAGCCTTGCATGATATAGAACCTTCTTATTTTTCTTTTACTACTCTTTCCTGTGCTCCAGCCACACTGTTCTCCTTTTTGTTCCTCCAATGTGCCAAGCTGTTTACATACCATTTCTTCCCAGTAAATTATACTTGATATTAATAGTATGCACATATTAATAAGATCTATTTTACAAGTACCAGGAGTTTTTGTTTTGTATATTCCATGAAATGTCATATCATATTGAATAAATGAAACACATTTATTTTTCTTAAATTATTAGAAGTTATTATAAATGTGTTACTTGTTTTGAGGTTGTCCACTTGCCTAGACAGAGTTGAAAATAAGTTCTATACCTAAGTAGTAATTAATTACTGTAAGAGTTAAAAGCGAGAATTCAATAGTGTTTTTATTTAATTGAGAAGTTCAAATATGGAACCATGCCTTTAGAATTTTGCTTGTAAATATTAGAGAAAAAATATACATCTATAATAAATATAGGAATGTATACTGAAGATTTTCTGTTTGAGACCATGACCCGCTATTTGGCAGCAATCATCATAAAGTCCTCTTTTAAAATGACATTCACTTTCATCAGAACCTCTGTGTGTGCTACCTCTTTCCATTCCAGTCTCTTACCAGTTCTAGAGTTCGTGGTTTCCACAGAACATATATCTCGGATAAATTTTAAATGTGTTTTCTCTCATCAGCACACAGCATGGGGCAACCAGACAGAGTGGTTATGAGTGCACTTCTGATTCTAGTTCAGACTGTATTGCTTCATAATATTGTGAGCCTTAGGCAAATTTCCTTATCACTAAAATAGGGATATTAATATTAATATAATTTTCAACATAAGGGGTATATAAGAATTTAATGAGTTAATGACTATTAATCATAGTGCTTGGTACACAGTAAATACTCAATGTTGAGTACTTTTGTTTTTATAAAAAGTTGTTCTCTTAGATTGCAACCCCAGAATTCCTCTTGGGAAGAGAAGGGGCTTTCTAAGCATGATTTAATTGGCATGCTTCATGGGTTATGAGGATTAGATTCCCTGGTCACAGTCTGGGTGGCTAAGGTAAGGGAAAGAAGTAGTTCTAAGAGATTTTTGGTGGCATTGAGGAGGGATTAGTGAGATTCTTAGGAATCTCTCTTGGGAAAAAAGGAAGTCCAGCAACATGGCAGGAAGATGGGGCTTAAGTAGAAACAATAATGAATAGAAGTTTCTTTATGATAAGAATGACTGAGGGATTTTAGGAATAGGGATGCCTGGTATTTAAGTTATTTACTGTAATGTAAGACTTATCTTGATTCCAAACTTAAGCAGAGTTACCCATACAGATATCCTTGAATGTGTGGCACTTTGGGTAGTGAAGGAACTAGGGTAGTGCCCGGTGGGGCAATAGTTATGCAACAAAAACACAGCAATGCTGAAGGTGACATTAAGGATGGAGATAGAGAATGTAGCAGAAGTGGTAACCCAAAGCCAGGGCTGAAAAGGAGAAGCTAAGTCAGCATTCCTACTTCCAAATTCTTCTCTGGAGGTTTTGGGAGAGGTACTGGGTTTCTGACAATATTTGAGATAAAAGTATGTCGAACAATTTTTACTTATCTGTTGAGAAACTGATGACATTATACAGTTAGAGGTCTTGGTGGCATTCAGATCATGACATTATTAATAAAGGAGATAGTAGTCTCTAGAAAATCCAAGGTTAAGGCATACAGAATGGTTAGGTTCCACTGGAACTGGTATTTCCAGTCTTTATGTCATTAAGAACCTGGAACTTTGGGGAGAATGAGAACCTAGAGAGGAATAGGAATCATTCTTTTCATTTGTTTGTTTTCTCTCACTTATCTTTTATATTTATTCATAACTTTTGTTTGTGCTTATGAAACTTTCATTGCATGTTTTCAATTTCTTTTTCCTTTGGTATTTTCTAGTTCAAATGGCCCAGAAAGAAATAACCTAATTGTACTAATTCGCAGTTCCAAGCCACGACTATGAGAGGCCAGCCTTAGTCTGAATTTTCTACCTGTTATAAGTGACTAAGGACAGACCAGTACCAGAAAACACTTCTGATATTAACTCTATAATTAATCTTATATTATAGTTTTAGATGTTAATTTTTCCTTACTACATCCATTTAGTTAAATTAGATTTTATGAAAAGGGGACACATTTACCTGTGTTAGGATTAAACTTTTTTATCCCTTAGAATATTGCAGAATTATGAATTTGAGTGAATTTACTAGAATTCAAGTTAGTTGATTGGGTTTTCTATATTATCTTTGGAAGTTACTAGCCTTCACTGAAGCTTTCTAATAATATTCTTATAAGGACAAAATGAATGACACAGCCTAGTAAGATTATTCCTAGGATGAATGCTAAAAATAAGCAGGTAAACATCTGAATGCTTCCCAGTTCTTTCTTTTCATGCATTGCAAGAGAGATGCCAGAGAATCATTATCTCCTTCCTGTCCTCAAAACAGAGCCCACATATTGAATAACTGAGTGACAAGCAATCTGGCCTATCCATATGACCATATTGTTTTCATCCCCTAATTAGCCTAGTCCTCACTGTGCTGATGAGGAAACAGATGCATGAAGCAGCAAATTACCTTCATCTCGCCTCTGAACAAAAAAAGATACAGCATTTAATTGTCTCATTTGAACTTGGGTGATTCAAAAGCAATAAACTGGAAATATTCAAGAAGGGAACATTGCTTTTAAAAACATGTTTTCTTTTCATTTAAAAGTCACCACAGAATATAGATTTGAATTATAGGAATTTGGCAACTTTAGTTGAAAATGATTACTTCTTACTAAAAGACTTATAGCCGGTTTGTTCATTAATTGACATGTGGATAAATAGAGATAAATGTAAAGTGTTTGTGGTCCTGAGGGTGTACTGCATGTTTATCTTCTGTGCCTACTTCTCAGGCAAATTAATTGTAACGGTTTCTCTGGCATTCCTTATCTGATTATATTAGAGGTGTAATTTTGCATAGCTATCAAAGTGGCAGAAGTATAGGGAGGAAAACAAGTGCCAGAGAGCAGCTAATGAGAACCAATCAAACTGCATGACAGACACAAAAAATCATTCAGCTTTGGTTTTTGCCTTCCAGTTAGACCTTTATAGTGCTTTGACTGTCATTTTTATTCATATCTTTTTTATTTCCAGACCCTAACAAAGCTCTGAGTAGTTACTATTGTTAGCTAAGATTTATTGGAAACTCACAAGTTGGCAAACATTATACTGTCTTACATAGATCATTTCATTTAATCTTTATAATTATACTATAATGGGGGTACCGTTACTATGTCATTTTATAGATGAGGAAACTGAGGCTTACAGAATTAAAATATGTGAAAATCAATGTTACAAAGGCCATTCTAAAAGCATGAACTGAACCAGAAAGAAAAGTTAAATAGGATCCTCATAATTCTGTATAGACTTCTGAAGTGGTATCTGAAGTGGTATCATCTTTATTTTTTACTTTATGAAGATGCAAGAATCACCATATGCGCATGTGGTAGTTTTCAAGGAATTTACTTAAAATAACATTTGAAGCCCAGTGGGCTTAAGGTAGGAAAATAATTTTTTTGGTTTCCTGTTGCATAGTTATAAAACTTGCTTATTTGTATATGTGAGGAAAGTGGTATTTATTTTTCCTAATGTTTTGGGGCCTTCTGCATTATTTCCCCCAAGTTCTCAGATGCACCATAGGGTCTTCAGGGAAGAACTCAGACCTAAAAGCTAAATAAATACACTATAGACTCTCTCTTAAAGTCTTTAGAAATACCTTCTTAAAGTCTTTAGAAATACCTAAAGTACTTGCAGTTTCATGAAATGTAATATGAGGAACCATGAATCAGGATAACCAATATAAACTAGTATATTTAAAAGGGTAGAATGGAATAAGCATAATATTTTAACATCAGAATATGTCCATTTTGGAGTTTTTTTGAAGTTCCTGTGCCATATGTTTATAAAATACTGCTCCTCAACATTAATTTTACAAATTCTTTTTTGGCCACCTACTGTCTGTCAGGTATACTGGTGATAGAATGGGGAACAAAATAGACATAATCCCTCACTCAAAGGTTTTGTTCTAGTGAAGAAGATGGATTTTTATTAATTTATATATTAATAAAAATCAATTATTAACAAGTTACAAAAATTATAAATTACAAAGTCAACTTAGTGTTAAGAAGAGAAGCACAATGAGAGACATTAAAGAGGTGTGTGTGTGTGTGTGTGTGGGTGTGGGTGTGGGTGTGTGTGTTTGGTAGGGCTCATTCTAATTTATGGGTCCATGTAATTTTTGCAGGCATCACTGAAGAAGTGATTTTTGAGCTGAAATCTGGAGGATGTATTAAAGAATAATTGTTATGGATACTCAGTTTGATTTGAATTTCAAAAGATTCTTCTGGCTGGGTGATGGGGAATGGACTGGAAGGCAAGAGAGCCCATTACAATAGTTCAGGTCAGAGATAAAAGTGATTGGACTGAAGGGGGGTGAAGAAGAAACTAGGGAGAAGCAGGTAGATACAAAAGCTGTTTAGGATGTAGAATTGATAACACATGTCTTATTATTATTTTCATTTGAATAAAAACTAAACTCCAATAGCTTTTTGTTCTGAAAACACACTAATTCATGAGGCTGAAAAGCAGAGTTGCTTATTATACTATTTTTTTGTATTATTCATTCATACAATAACATTTGATTGTGTTTTTTGTATATCATTATGTTAGTTGTGAAATAATTCCTAGTCTTTCCCTTTCTATGAGCTCATAAAGTATAAAAGATACATAAACAGGTAATAATAATATACTGTTGTAATTGAAATAATAGAATTATTTAAATTATATTATTATGGAATTGCTTAACCTAGCTTAATTATGCAGGGAAGTCTTACTGGGGGAAGTGCCACTAGAAATGTGTAGTTGAGGATGTTTTAAAATTACAGATGCTATTCTCAGCAGAGGGAAAATGATAACAAAGATAGGGAAGTGAGAAATTTCATGGTATGTCTAGAGGCTATAATACAGATTTTACAGAGGAAAAAGGGCATGCGAGACAGGCAGGACTGGCTACATAATTTGCAGAGCCCAGCGCAAGAAAATGCAGGTCTCTTTGTTCAAAAATTATTTATTTATTTGAAGATGGTGACAACAGTTTTGGCTGTCATCAAAACAGAAAACAATTATTATTAAATATACTCTAGCAGTGTTATTAGCATTAAGAAATTGCCAGTAAAAGAATCTAGGTATGCAAAATGGAATTTTGAATCTCTTTTATAATTTCTGCCCTAGCAAAATTACAACAATTACAGTAATAGGTGAAGAGGAATAGATTATTTTAGAGAGTGACTACATGTTTCATTCATATTACAGTGACAGCTTTTAAAAACAATCTTATCTTTTCCACTTACACAGCGAGGTTGTTTCTTTGTAGAGATGGACAGGAAAGGACATTAGAGTAGATCACCATTAATTTTCAGTATTGCAGAGATCTTGATTCATTGGTTGTTGTAATCGTAGTAACAGCAATAGCAAGAACATTTCAAACAAATTCTTAATTGTAATAGATTACTGCATTTTTGGAGGACTTGGTGTTATGATAGGCAATCCTTATTTGAATCCCATATTTGGAATAAATAAGCAAAATTTCCCCAAGTAAGGCAAATATTGTTCCACCCTGGAGCTAATGATGATGCTTCTGTGACTGGATGAAGCACAGAGAGGTTAGTACTGTTCCCCAGATGGGTGTGTTATATGAAAATAATCTGTACTTGGTTTAGAGCAGTATAAGGCTTAAAGCTAGTTATATCTTGGTCTGGAATGAATAACAACAAAAATCGAAGTAATAAATTTGGCCTGAATTCACAAGAAAGTTATAATCTTCTTGTACATGTAAACAGATCTAAAATAAAATTTAAAAAACCTATTGTAAATTTGTGATATTGCAGACTGCTGTATGTGCAATATAATTTCAGATAATGCAGGAATTTCAGAGAATTTCAGTGTGTGATACA